AGAGAGAGATGGAGAGGGGGGAACAGAGATGGGGAGGGGGGGCAATAAAGAGATGGGGAGAAAGAGAGGGAAGAATGAGACACAGGGGGAGACAGAGACAGAGAGGGAAGAATGAGACACAGGGAGAAAGAGGGGGAATAGAGAGATGGGGAGGGGGAGAAAGAGAGGAGCTCACCCTGCAGCTCCTCTGGGTCCTTCTTGCGCGAGCACAGAGCGTTGCCGCGGTTACCATGGCAACATTACTGCTCTTGCGAGAGTCAACTCTAGCCCTGGAGCTACGGGCTAGAGTTCACTCTCAACACTGTAACCCCCATGGATTCCTGGTGGTCGCAGTGGTAAGAGTGAACTCTAGCCCCATAAACACACTGCCCCCACACACACACCATACACATTCACACACTGCCCCCATACACACCATACACATTTACACACATTGCCTCACACATACACTGCCCACCCATATACACATCCCCCCATACTAACATTGCCACACACATACACAGCCCACACACTACACCCCCCCACACACACTGAACCTTTCACACACATTGCACCACTGCTCCTATTCCCTACTACAGCCTCATATCCCAGCAGACCCCAGGTAAGTTGTCAAACTGTTCTTAAACGGTTGACTACTTACTCTGGAGCAGTAGTGGTTATTGTGCATGGATTATTTCTTTAAATAATCTACAAGTGCCCCAGTAGCCAGCCAGCCAACCCACAGGCTGGCCAGTAGCCAGCCAGTTAGCCAGCCCACAGGCCAGCAGCCAGCCCACAGGCCTACAGCAAGCCACAGGCTTACAGCCAGCAAGCCACAGGCTTACAGCCAGCAAGCCACAGCCTGCCAGCCGCAGCCTGCCAGCCGCAGTCAGCAAGCCCACAGCCTGCCAGCCGCAGCCAGCAAGCCCACAGCCTGCCAGCCGCAGCCAGCAAGCCCACAGACTGCCAGCCAGCAACAGTAATTAAGGTAAGAGGAGCCAACTTGGCTTAGGTATCAGCGAGCTATGTTGTGTTGCTATATTGTGAATAGGAAGAGAGCTGGAGAGACCACCCTCCAGGCCCCATTAGACTCTAGCCTCTGCTAGAAATCCCCTCCATGGCCTATTAGCCCTCAATTGTAGTTTCTACTGGGGCCTGGAGGCGACTGTTTCCAGCAGGGGATATCTAATGGACGCTGAGATGGCCTCTGTTAGAAAGACCCCCTTCCAAGCCTTTTAGACTCCATTGTAGTCTCTAATGGGGCTTGGAGGGGATTCTTTCTAACACACCCTCTAAAGGACACTGAGATAGCCTCCGCTAGAAAGACCCCCCTCCATGGCCCATTAGCCTCAATTGTAGTCTCTACTGGGGCCTCGAAGGGCTTATTGCCCTTTTGTTCCTTGTGTCTAAAGATTGTGTAGGGTGTGGCTGGAGGCGGTGCATGGAGGCGGGACAAGGGTGGCGCTTGCTGCAGAGTATGGGTGGGGCCTGTAAGGGGGCCCTTGATTTATTTTGCCCGAGGGCCCTGAGGGTTCTCAGTCCGCCCCTGAATTGGAGTGAGATGTCAGCCAACTGGAGTCCAATCAATGAGATGAGATTGGAGGTGTTGGTTACAGCTGCCCTGCCCTATAAAAAAACAAACACCAGTTCTGGGTTTGCTTTTCACAAGAAGCATTGCCTGATGTGAATGATGCCTCGCACAAAAAAGCTCTCAGAAGACCTACGATTAAGAATTGTTGACTTGCATAAAGCTGGAAAGGGTTATAAAAGTATCTCCAAAAGCCTTGCTGTTCATCAGTCCACGGTAAGACAAATTGTCTATAAATGGAGAAAGTTCAGCACTGTTGCTACTCTCCCTAGGAGTGGCCGTTCTGTTAAGATGACTGCAAGAGCACAGCGCAGACTGCTCAATGAGGTGAAGAAGAATCCTAGAGTGCCAGCTAAAGACTTACAAAAGTCACTGGCAAATGCTAACATCCCTGTTAGCGAATCTACAATACGTAAAACACTAAACAAGAATGGATTTCATGGGAGGATACCACAGAGGAAGCCACTGCTGTCCAAACAAAACATTGCTGCATGTTTACAGTTTGCACAAGAGCACCTGGATGTTCCACAGCAGTACTGGCAAAATATTCTGTGGACAGATGAAACCAAAGTTGGGTTGTTTGGAAGAAACACACAACACTATGTGTGGTGAAAAAAAGGCACAGCATACCAACATCAAAACCTCATCCCAACTGTGAAGTATGGTGGTGGGGGCATCATGGTCTGGGGCTGCTTTGCTGCATCAGGGCCTGGATGGATTGTTATCTTTGAAGGAAAAATGAATTCCCAAGTTTATCAAGACATTATGCAGGAGAACTTAAGGCCATCTGTCTACCAGCTGAAGCTCAACAGAAGATGGGTGTTGCAACAGGATAATGACCCAAAGCATAGAAGTAATTCAACAACAGAATGGCTTAAACAGAAGAAAATACGCCTTCTGAAGTGGCCCAGTCAGAGTCCTGACTTCAACCCGATTGAGTTGCTGTGGCATGACCTCAAGAAAGCGATTCACACCAGACATCCCAAGAATATTGCTGAACTGAAACCGTTCTGTAAAGAGGAATGGTCAAGAATTACTCCTGACCGTTGTGCACGTCTGATCTGCAACTACAGGAAACATTTGGTTGAAGTTATTGCTGCCAAAGGAGGTTCAACCAGTTATTAAATCCAAGGGTTCACATACTTTTTCCACCTGCACTGTGAATGTTTACATGGTGTGTTCAATAAAAACATGGCAACATTTCATTATTTGTGTGTTATTAGTTTAAGCAGACTGTGATTGTCTATTGTTGTGTCTTATATGATGATCAGATCACATTTTATGACCAATTTGTGCAGAAATCCATATCATTCCAAAGGGTTCACATACTTTTTCTTGCAACTGTATTTCACCCTTAAAACCACTAGTCTGACAACATGTCTGCCTGTTACTAATACCATAAATTTTTTTCTACAATCTGTGATTTGCTGCGTTTGATTATCTTCTTTGCATTCTGCTTTCCTCAAACCACTCATTTTTCAATTCTCACTCTTGATTAACCTAAAAGTTGTTATGTTGCAATAAGGTTCCTGATGCTGAGGGCAGAATGTGAGGGTAGATAAGAACCATTCGGCCCATCTAGTCTGCCCAGTTTTCTAAATACTTTCATTAGTCCCTGGCCTTATCTGATAGCTAGGATAACCTTATGCCTATCAGGGTTTAGGGGGGTAAGCCAATTTAGGGGTTAAGCCAATAACTAACGGCTTAACCCCAAATCTTTAGTCCAGTGCTGGTCAGCTCTACCCCTGAATTTCCATTTGAGTCTGGGTCTGTCCTCCATTGAAACTCAAGCCATTAACACTTGGTACAGTACTTCTCTCCGATCTATTCTTATACACACTTTTCCTTGTACGTCCACTGGTCTCCTGTCTTTTTAAGAAATGGAATAAAAATTATAATGCACTTACTATTCTGAGCTGCAGAATATTCTAGTATGTTATAAATGTTAAAGGGTCTAGTGATTTAAAAAAATTTTTTTTAAAGATAAGTCTTACGTCATTTTTTTTCCCGGATATGTCATTTATGACTAATGTTCCTGGATATCAAGTCCACGTTATTGTAGCACACTATGTTAATTGTGCCCTCTGCGGTAACCTTAATGTTGGCTTTAACCCCTTAAGGACACATGATATGTGTGACAAGTCATGATTCCCTTTTATTCTAGAAGTTTGGTCCTTAAGGGGTTAAAGATACTTTTTCCTTTTCCAGCTGTGTCCTTTGATTTTCCAACTTTTAGGTGTATTATCATTTACTTCATATACTAGAAGCAATATCAATTAGATATGGTATACTTGACCCAAAATAATAAAATTAAGCCTATGTTGACAATAAAAAAAGTAAAAAAAACTTTTTAATTATATTCCTTTCCCATTTAATGGATGGGCATTAAACAAAAGAAAAAAATGCTCTCATGCATAAAATATTACAATAAATTTATCATTGCATTTCTTATCCCGGGATATAGCCAAGACTGCATGCGTATGTATGATAAATCAGGATGAATTGGTCTAAATGAGACTCTTCAAAGTATTAACCCATTGATAACTCACAACTGTTATTAAAGGACTTGCAACTGATGTTTCAAAATCATCTTAGTCTGTGTGTGTATGTATTCAGCAGACTGTGTTAATTATAAATGTACGATATTAATTAGGAATAGTCTCAACTGAACTGTAGACACTTAGAAATTGGATAATACTATACTCTAAGACAGTGATGGCGAACCTATGGCACGTGTGTCACAGGTGGCACGCCAGGCCCTCTTTGTTGGCACTCGGTTATAGGTCGCCGGGAGATGGGGCCGCTGGCTGTCTGCAGAGTAGGCACCTGCCTGCCCGAAACGTCAGGCACCTACTCTGCTTCCGTGTCGGGAGGCAGGGGGAGGGCTCTAGGAAGCAGCTCTCCTAGCCTCCTGTGAGCTAGCTGTGTGGAGCGTTGCCGCGCGTTACCATGGCAACGCTCCACACAGCATCGTGTGGGAGGATAGGAGAGCTGCTTACCACCACCGGACCACCAGGGATGGCTGTGTCCCCCCTCCTTCACCAAAGGTAAGAGGAAGGGAGGGGGGATACCGAATTAATATAACTTTTTTTTAAATGTATCTTTACCCCTACCCCACACAGCACAGCACCCCTACCCCCCTACACAGCACCCCTAACCCCCCTACACAGCACCCCTACCCCCCACAGAACCCCTACCCCCCACAGAATCCCCACCCCACACACCCCTACCCCCACACAGCACCCCCACCCCCAGCACAGCACCCCCCCCAAGCACAGCAAACCCACAGCACAGCACCCCTAACCCCTACCCCCACACAGCACATCACCCCTACCCCACACAGCACATCACCCCTACCCCCACACAGCACATCACCGCTATCCCACACAGCACATCACCCCTACCCTGCACACACAGCACCCCTACCCACCACACACACAGCACCCCCCCACACACATACAGCACCCCTCAGACACACACAGCACTCCACACCCTTACACACAAACACATACACTGCACCCCTCAATGCAGTATGTATGTGTGTATTCAGCAGTCTGTGTGTGTGGATGTATTCAGCAGACTGTGTGTACTCAGCAGTCTGTGTGTGTGTGTGTGTGTATTCAGCAGTCTGTGTGTGTGTATATTTAGCAGTCTCTGTGTGTGTGTACTCAGCAGTCTGTGAGTGTGTGTACTCAGCAGTGTGTGTGTATTCAGCAGTCTCTGTGTGTGCTTGTGTATGTATTCAGCAGATTGTGTGTATGTACTCAGCAGTCTGTGAGTGTGTGTACTCAGTAGTCTGTGTGTGTGTGTGTGTGTGTGTGTACTAAGTAGTGTATGTATTCAGCAGACTGTGTGTGTGTATTCAGCAGTGTATGTATTCAGC